TAAAAACGTGTATGAGTAAGTCGTACATACATCATTCATGCAGAATATTACAAAAGCGTAACACTTGAACGCACCTAGCGAGTTATTAAAAGCCTTAAATGACGGGAAAAGGGTGCACGAACAAATGAGTAAAAAAAAAAAATTTAAAGCGTAGTGTTTTAATTTTAAGTGTTTGTGTGTGTGTATAGTGTTACAAAATAATGTATACGCTTTTGCAGTCGTTATAACTTATTCATTTTATGTATTTTGACTTGTAAATAAGATTAATACAAGTGAAAGAATACACATTTAAAGAAACTGAGCGCAAAATATACAAAACCATAGAAAATTAACTTTAATAAGATAAAAGCTATTTAGGGCAATGGCAGAATGTTCATATAATGATGAGTTCACATCAAGTGCTCAAATTGGTTGCCGTTCAATACACTTTTCATATCTTGAAGAAATAGACCTACAAACGTCCAGTATCATTTCCTCTGGTATTTGAGCACATTCTTCTTTAATTGCTACTCTCATTTCAGCAATTGTTTCAGGTTTCCTGCTGTAAAATTTGTCTTTTAGAAACCCCCACAAAAAGAAACCCAAGGGTGTCAAATCTGGTAATCTAGGTGGGTATTCAACAGTCCCTCTTTTCCCAATCCATCTGTTTTGCATATTTACATCCATATATGTTCTCACATCACGGTAATCTATTATTAACTATTAATATTTAAAGAGTGTATACATTATTTTGGGACACCCTATATATATATATATATATATATATATATATATATATATATATATATATATGTAGCTTTATGTATTTAATAAAAAAATTATTAAAATTAAATTTAAATCTTCTAGATAAAGAAAAGAACTAAAATGAATACAGGGTGCGGTAGAAATACTTTCCCACAAATACCTCCAAGAAATAAATCTAATTCTCTTAGCATTATGTAGGGGGTATTTATGAGAGGTATAGTGATTTTTTTTTTTTTTTTTTTTTTTTTTAAGCGAAGCTCAGATGTGGCACGAGGTCAAAGTCACTGGAGGTATTTCTGGTGATATTGTTGGTAATTTTTGTATATAAAAATGTATTGCTGGTATTTTTACTATGAAAATGTATTTTATAGTTTTATCGCGTTTTGTTTATGTTTGGGATGTTCATTATTTGCCCATAGCTGGGATCCTAACAGATGCTTCCACCCCAGATCAAGATGGACCTGGGAACAACAGCTATTATACGATAGTTCCACCCTCCTGAAAAAATCCAATCTCTCGATCAGAGGCATTGCTGCCGGATGTAATTTACTCTTCGTAAGAAAACTTTTATCCACTTTGTCAAGCATATCTCTCTCTCTCTCTCTCTCTATATATATATATATATATATATATATATATATATATATATATATATATATATATATATATATATAAAGAGAGAGCCGAATTATCCACGCCTTGCTGCGTGTTACACATTCTTTTTATATAAAATGATTTTAAATCATTGTTATACCCAGCTGATCCCCTTTGATCAAGATGAAATATATTTATCCAAGAACGCCGGGTAATGTAATTTCGGTATATATATATATATATATATATATATATATATATATATATATATATATATATATATATATATATAGCTGTTCGATAAAAGTGACACCTGATTTTTTTTTACTAAATGTTCTCTTCTCCGATGAAACGAAAGTTGAGCTAAATTCAAAGGATAGGCGATCTAAAATCCGAAGAAGCTTTGAAAGCTCTTTGAATTTAGCAGTAAGTACTGTCAAGCATCCGTTCAGTATAATGTTCTGGGGATGCATTTCTTTTCATGGAACTGGTTTCTTAAAATCTATTGAAAAGACCCTTAGTAGCGAGCAGTACAAGAGAATTTTAGAGTTTTGTCTGCTCCCTTCTGCTGAAAGGTTGCAAATCGACCCCACCAAGCTCATTTTCAAGCAGGATAATGCTCCTTGTCACAAATCAAAATTGATGAAGGAATACTTTGACGAGAAGCAGGTGAGTGTTATGACATGGCCGCCCCAATCTCCTGACCTCAACACCATAGAAAAATTATGGAGCATTATAAAGTACAGGCTCTCGAGAAAGCAGTTGAACAACATGCTCCATAAGTTTTTGTAAAAAAAAAAAAAATCAGGTGAGTCACTTTTATCGAACAGCACTGTGTGTGTGTGTATATATATATATATATATGAGGATGTATCTATAGAACCCTGGTAGGAGGTCGATAACAAACAGTCTACAACTTTATATATATATATATATATATATATATATATATGAATTTGTTTTTTAAATTTTACTTAGTCATTTTTTAATACTTTTTAGCAAACATCACAGCAGTTTCTCAGTTCAAACGAAACCTATAAACGAAGAATATTTGAGAAGCAACTAAATCAGTTGGGAATTAATTCGAATGATTCTTTTTAAAGCAATTAACTTTAGGCATATGATTGCCAACTTATCAACGGTCCTTTTCACATAGCAATGATTTCTCTCTCTTCAGTGCTTATTGTTTAGGATGGAATTATGCTAAGCTGTTTAAGAACAATTCTGTAAGCCCTTCTCTTTTGCTCAGGTTATTGTTTGTCGAGTCACCTCCAGCGGATTAGGAAAAGGCGAGTGATAACAGACTAACAATCAGGCGCTGATATGGTAGCAAGACTTTATAATTAGGTTACAGATAACAAGGACCTGATGCCAAATACTAAGAATGGAAATAGAGATTTCTTTCTTCTACCAGTTTCATTGTCTTAAAAAAAAAGCTCTTCTTGGCTTGATTTGATGAAGAAAACTAACTTTAAATAAGAAATACGTTCTTTCAATACTGTTATGATTTTTGTTATCCATCCACGGTGCGATATTAGGAGTGATTGTTGAGTGGATTTCAACAGAACTCGACTATTTACTGGAAAAGAACTAAATAAAAAAATTAAAAAATTCTTGTTCTGGGTCCCAGAATTCTAAGCTGTATCATTTGTCTAAAAATTATTCCTGCCATTAATTTTCCAAAAAATCGGAAAACTTAATTTTCAGTTTTCATGTTTCCCCTGTCTTGAGATTCTTAAACATTTGTACACCATAATTATTCGGTAAAACCCAATTGTTTTCTTTGTACATTTCATGGTCCCGCCAGTTCTAGCCTGCACGGCTTCGACCCGTTATACCACAAAAATTGTAGAAAACCCACTCACATTCCTCCCTTCTGTATTCCATTGGCGGGAAGTTCCGCACAAACAACTTCCAGCAAACCACTGCTCTGTGTCGCCGACTTCCGACAGGATGTTTCCCCGATGACTATAATCCAACCTGCGCAAGGCTAGTGTTAACTGCTATCATCCTATCCTGTCCTCATAAACTCTCTCTTAATGTAACCCTCTATCTCGAGTGGGCCCCGGGCCTTATATAAGGCAAACCTTACAGTTAAAAGGGTGTGGGTACTCTAAAAAAATCGTTATTCCTAGTTTGATCCTAAAACGATCTACAGTCTGAAGCTTGGTGTAACGACTTAGATCAGAATCCATGAGTGCTTTTATTTTATTTTTACTTTTACAACTGTGACTTAGATTGATTTCTACAATTAAGTCGCCCTGTCAGCTGGGGCTTCAGAATACGCTGACTGCACCTCTGTAGAGAGGTAAGATCTTCCACTCCAACGAGGTGTCCTGGGTATGACGATAAACTACATCTGGCAGCAAATCCTCTGTTGGTGTTCCTTGGTCCACACTGACCCGGGGTTGTAGCACTTGTTAAACTCCCCGCTATGGGCAAATAGTTACCCCCCCCACAAAAAAGCAGTCGTCAAAACACTATGAATTTGTAGAAATAGGTTTTAATACCAGCAAAACTTCTATTAAAAAAGTTACCAGCCATAAGTTTTTTGAAAACAAAACAAAAGAAAAAAAACAGAACATTACCAGCAATAAAAAAAATCTTGTCAGCATTATGAGGTTCATATGCCGTAAAACAAAACAAACCAATGGGGCTAATATGCCGTAAAACAAAACAAAACAAACTGTGTTTGTCTTTTATTTTTCTAATTTTGTGTTTTGTCTTTCTCCTGGCTTCATCGTTAGCAGAAATGGTTGAATTTATTTATTTACTTTTTTAAGATTATAGGATTTCATTGGTTATTTTGAGATATATGATAAAAATATAGTTTCAAGGTACGTTATATTTATGGATAAATGTGACCCGTATCAGGGATACTGCGTAATTAAATATAAAAGTGGACATTGAAGTCAACACCGAGAGGTGGCAGTATTTGTCATATTGCAAGGCAATCCTCAGGCCTGAAGATTGCATTCATGCATAAAGCATATTATGATCGCACGATGTGACTTCATTCAATGCCCAAATATAAATGAAAAAATCTATGGCAAAGTGGTGGAAAAAAATGCGTGTGACATGTTTCGTCCTTTAGGGCGTCAGCGGACTAAAGTAATGTTTATGTTGACGTGATTACGCATGCGCAAGAAGAATATTTTATACTTTGAATTTTTTTTTTTTTTTTTTTTAAATATGTGTTTTGGCTAGCCGATTAAATTTAGTTTCCTTTTGTTTTATTTTTTTATCCCTTTTCTTAAGTATCCCAGATTGTGATAATCGAAGATCTGTCAAGATAGGTGAAAGAAACTGGACGTAAATTTACTATGGATGATCTCGCAATTAGAGCACTTTCTATACGCTTTTGTCTTAGTAAATTGCTTTCTCTTTTAATTGAATTGAATTTAAAAAAAAAAAATCAAAACTATGATTAGACTCATTACGATGCGACAAACACGCACACTCTCGGGACTATTCGACACTGGTATCTAAATTGTTGACTGAAATTCTGAAGGAAAAATTATCGGGTAAATCCATCTCTCGAGTGTACCTGCCTCGGCAATAGTAGCAAAAAAGCTGTCACCTCCTTAAGAAACCTAATCAAATGTGTATGTAATTAAATATTAGTAATTGGTTATGCCGACAATGCTTTGTCAAATGTAGAAATGTATACGAATAGTTTTTCGTTAGCAGATATCTCTTTATTTTTTGTTTACGGCGGTGGGGATCCTCTACTTACGATAGTGTTTCGTTCCTACGATGCGTCGTAAGGCGATTTTCTGTGCAAGTCGGAACATACCCGCGAATAAGCACTTACGTCATTCACCTACGCTAACGCAATAGTAAATTAATAATCTACGAAATAGCAACACAATTCATATGTTAACAAAAAAGGACTATAAAACACAAAAATATAGTGAAATGGAAATAATACGTAGTGATTTACTAAGCGTAGCTTAGAAGTGATACAAGTCCGAAAGTATAGCGGACCCAGTGAGGATCGAACTCACTATTCAGTTGTAATTTAACTAGCGATACAAAATCACTAACCATTACATTATATCGATGTGTCCAATAACAATGTTACATATAATGAAATTGGTTTAAGCGTCGTATGTACGAGGGAAACGGCATAAGTCGAAACAAGATTAATAGAGATTGCGTCGTAACTACAAATCGTCGTAGATCGGTACTGTCATAACCCGGGGACTTACTGTATTTTTATTTTTGGTTTAGCTTGTGAATATATTCAAAAGTATCTTCGTTTTCCTATCAAGATAGAAGTGGCATACGACTGTGGGTGAAAAGCCGCCCCTCTCGCACCAATACCAACCCAGCCGAGAAAACTTTTTGACGTGCAATCCTTCGCTAAGCACTTAATTGAGGTAGCGTTGCCTCAATGGTAATCAAGTCAAGATGATTGCGATAATTGTTTTACTGTTTTCCACTTAGCTCATTGGCTTCCACGGCCTTTTAATAGCATTCGACCACTTCGCAGTTTTGTTCTCGCTTTGATTTCTTTCCCATTTCTCAGAAAATTGCAGCCATATTTGGCTTGACTTAATAATGCTTTTGGTCACTACGTTTGCAAGCTCGCTGACCATTCACTTAGCGACTGGGAAGAGTTGGCCAATGCTTACCATTCTCATTATTCAAAGACTTGCTGGAAAATTAAACTATTATTGAAGGAGACCAGCGTTTCTATTTTATCTGCATGACCCTCCTTGACTCATTTTGCCTGCTGCTTATGTGCACCGATCAATTAAATACAAGAAAACATATGCTCGTCATTTAAATATGTGCCAAGGAATTTTCAGTTAATATTATACCCTTAAAAATTAGGCGGGTCAGGTCATGATTCGTGTAGAGATTAAAGCTTGTAAAGGCACTGTTGCACCAGGGGTATGTCCTGGGTAAATTATAGATCTATATAATAAAACGTTAATCTTGTGTGTACGTATATATGTTCCCGAAATAAACCTTAAACGATACATAATACTCCAACTGGTTTAGAAGCATGTTGTACTTTGAACTCCTGCCGGGCGCATTGCCAAATTTTATTAAAATTAGACGGGGGTTCTTGAGTTAGGGTCGTTTTTTTCTGTTTTTACAGCATTTTTAAGAGGAACTTCGGTATTTGTTTTCAATGCACATTCTTTGATTAATCTGCGTATATAAACAAATACTTGCATATAGTTGTTATATAACATTTGCAACGTCTACGATTTTTTTCCTCAAAGCTGCTTGCCTGGAAATGAGATGTACGATATCCTTGTATAGATCTCTGAGGTTTAAAACAAACTTTGGTTCACTTTCATGGGCAGAGGAACAGATTATAGAGTCACGTGGTTAAAAAGAACTTAGTGTTCAAAAGCGCACATATTTCTATATACCTACCTACCTGTCTGTCTATCGACCTACCTACCTACCTGTCTGTCTATCGACCTACCTGTCTGTCTATCTATCTGTCTGTCTATCGACCTACCTGTCTGTCTGTCTATCTATCTGTCTGTCTATCGACCTACCTGTCTGTCTGTCTATCTATCTGTCTGTCTATCGACCTACCTGTCTGTCTGTCTGTCTATCTATCTGTCTGTCTATCGACCTACCTGTCTGTCTGTCTATCTATCTGTCTGTCTATCGACCTACCTATCTGTCTATTTATCTATCTTCCTGTCTGTCTATCTATCTGTCTGTCTGTCTGTCACTTTATATATCGTATTCTTCTTACATTAGTGTTTTTGATATAGAGAATCTCTAGGAGAGTGTACTTGAACAAAACCTATGAACTTTGGTTAAAATTTCTTTTTTCATAAATATGATCTGAATGTCCGGCCACTCTACGCCATCTGGAAAATGTAATACAAATTGAATAGGCGGGCCTTGTTTGACGAATTTTTATATTCATTTCCATTGTGCCTTAGTAAGAGAAACGCATTCATTGAGTTATTGCGCTTTGTGTGTGTGTAGTCCTTGTTTTGTCATAGACGGTCTTTTAAAAATACTCCAAGAAAAATGAATCTTCTTTATTGGCTGACAAAGTGCTTGTCATAAACACATGACCATTCAGGTAATTTTTGTAAATAATTAATAGTGTCAATTTTCTGTCTGTGTATAACAAGGGCTCTTACTTTTTTGTCTTCAATTTTTTTCTGGGGGTTCGTTTATTTTCTTTTTTTTTTCTTTTTTTTTTCTTTTTTTTTTCTTTTTTGAGGAGTTCGTTTTTGGTGTTTCTTTTCTGAGGTGACCCCTTCTTTTATTTTTTCCTTTTCGTTTCAGTAAATTATAAACTATACTTCAATCTTTTTTCATTCGATGTGACGTCCATTTTGTCTGACAATACACTTTCCTTCTTTCTTTCTTTCTTTCTTTCTTTCTTAATGCATGGTGAGATGTTCGACCCCACATCCACAGCCTCAGTTCTAACCATTTTCTCTTTTATTCCCTTCCCACCAGGCTTCTCCATTTTGTTTTCTGTAAAGATCTTTTTGCAATATAAAACCCACTGCCCATTCCATTTTCTTAAGATGCAATGGTCATTACTTAAAGTACTCACTGGCCAATTAATGAGTGTAACACACACTCTATTCAGTAGACATTCATTTCTTCTATCCCGAATGAACGAATCACTCTTGTTCTCGGCGCTAAAACCTAACACCCACCCGCCATTTTCCATCGCTGTCGACTGAATCAAATGACGGCGGTTCCTTTAAAGTCAGCTTCTAATCTCAGCACCACTTAATGCTTTCGATTCAAAGTTTAAATTGCTCTCGATAGGCGTGAGGGGAGGTGCCAAAAATTAATACAGATAGTATTGAGATGATCATTATCACCTCCTATATACCCACCCCCAGAGGTACGGGGGAGTAATGGATAAGTGCTTGGAGAGCGCCGAGTTCGATTTCCAGTTGAATCCATTACATGCAGTAATACCCTTGGGAAAGGTAGGAACCCTCTTCTTCTCCTGCCCCCAGCTATGGGTAAAATAGCAGGACCGGATTCCATAGACTTGGATGGCAACTGGTATACCGCAGAAAGAAATGGCAACCGACTGCGGGAAAACAAAAAATTGCCACGTTAGTCATGTATCGAAAGATACATGATCGCTTAAGCGTGTAACACGCATGGCACATAACTGACTGATATTTACAATTAAAAAAAAAAATTCTTAAATATTTTAATTATATTTATCTATAACGTCTTTTTAAATCATTTAATTTTAAAGCTTTTGTAGCGGTCATATGATATTGTTACTAATTAAACAAAATCTGCATTTACAATCATAAATGAGAAAACTTACTACAATTTAGCAGACCAGACCCCACCCCCGGCCAGTATTTTTAAAATTTTGAAATTTTTGTGTGTGTATAAACATACCGATTTTTGTATAGTCAATTTCCAAGCTCGGCTTAAACGTGACAAAAGATCGAATGTATGGGGCACCCAATGAGGATTGAACACGCTACTCGGCCGTAATTGTTCTAGCGAGACAAGCTTGCTATGCTAACCATTACCCCACCTCGAGGAACCCGTACCGATTTTTGTATATACGGATGTCCATACACGACCTTACCAGAAAACAAAGGCGGTAACTATAGTAAATTTAAAGCCAAAGTACCTACAATTCAATAAAATATTAGATTACGGAGGATATTTTCCTAAAGTCTTAAGATTACTGGATAGTTAAAAATTTTATATAAAAAGCACTCTCTATATATTAAAGCAATTTTTACAGATATGTCCCCCACCCCGTGGAAACAAATTATATATAATATGATTATCCCAATATAAGTCTATTGAGATAGTTGTCAGCATCTTATAAAAACGCCCTCTCCATGTTGAAAAAATACTTCCTGCGATATCTTAGACTAAAAGTAATATTTCTTTCAAATAAGATTAAGCTTTAAATTAACAAATCTTCCACAAAAAACTATTTTTTAAATGTTTTTTTTTTTAATAAAGAGAATTACGTTGTGCTGAGAAATTTGTAAATATGACTAAAATGAGCCATTTTTAGCGATTAAAAAAAAAAGTAATTCCAATAAATTTGTTTAGAAATACAGCAATGCATTTTGCCTATTGGAAATATTAAATCTATTTTATTAGCTTGGAATTAAAACGAAAATAAGATTCAAGAGATATTTTTAATTTATAAAAAATCATTTAAATCTTAGGCTTACTTTCCTTTCGAGAGATATATATATATACCCCTACCTACGTGACACAAGATCGAGGTTTAAAGTGGGTTTAACTGCAATACCATCGCAAAATTACTCAACCACCCGAGGCACGTTTCCTTTTTAGAGACGCCTCGAGCTTACTCCCGACGAAGAGGTACTACCTGGGGGATGGCCCCCTGGGGCTTGAGCATAATATTATTTAGAAACTACCCAGCCGAACCATTTTTCTTGGCATTTGATTCGCGCCCAATTCAGACAGAATTTTGTGAAATGGTTTCAAAGCGCTGATTTTCGTAAAAAAAATTTATCCATTTGTTCTTGTTATTTTTTTCTTGTTCTCATAACGTCGTCTAGTCCTATACATTATTTTGCATAAATTTTGACGTCACACAATCTTCCTACATCAATCCTTGCCGCATTAAAGTTATTGTAAAATATCTGAAGGTCACGTCTCATATTTCCTCCTTCAGGCCATATGGTTTCGATCTTCGATACCTCACCTGTTCGGTTCTATGCTACACGCTTATTAAATAACGCTATATAATCTATCCTTGCCTTTTTTTTTCTCCGACATAATCTTCAAAATATAAAGTAACAAGTACATTAAATTTTATTATTTGACGTTAACGTCTCCTTAAGTACTATATAATAAAATCGAAATCCTGGATATAAAATTCTAGGAAAACGAATAAAGTTTCAAGGAATTTTTTTTTTTCTCTTTTTCTATAAAATACTTAAATATACCGAAAGAAAAACAAATAAGCAAGGCCAATAAATATCTAGAATCCCTACAAAAGTAATAATTAAAACTCTCTTTATACACGATTTATTTCTTATAAAATAATGCAGGGTATTAAGTTGGGTGAATGAAAAAAGCAGGTAAGGTTATATGCGCGTAATGGCTGGAGATTGCAAAATGGATTATGAATGGAAAAAAGCCTTAAAAACCTCTTTGCTTCCGCCGACGCCATTTTAATGCCTGCCTCCATCTTTTTCTTGTTTTCTTTTTCTTCTCATTCATTATAAATGTTAGAGGAAAGAATTTCAGTTGTAGGTCAGGGGAAATGCTTCTGCTCATCGGTTTATTGTTATTGGTTCAAGGTTAACGTTCATTTCAGTTCTTTAGTTGTTATTTTCTAGGTTAATCTGTAGCGATATATCGATCTTTAAAACGATTTGAATATTTATTGTTTCACATTATTTTTTAATTTGCCTATCACTTGGCATCAACTCCTGCTGCTGCCTGGATTCTTACGATAGGCAGTTTTGAATACATTAAGTGATCTATCGTCCAATCTATTTCTTCTTTCCTTGCGGTGGGAGCGGGATCCAATGTCGAGGGAGCAAAATAATTCTTCCTTTTTCTCATTTAAAATAAAATAAAATAGACGATGATGTCTTAAACAACAGACAAGAATGAGTTAATATTGGCATCCAAGGGAGTATATATTTTTAACCGAGTTCTTTTTTATTTTATTGTTTTTCTGTTCTTTTTTTTTTTTTTTAAATCCATAAAAAGTAATGAATATTTTTTAAGAAGCTTCAAGTGGTGATTTTTTTTCTTCAAAGAAATTTTCTAATTTTTATACGAAAATTAATATCGATTATTTTAAATATAAAAATAGAAAGTATCAAGGCTTTTTAACATCTTTTGAATACATACGAGTTTTTCTTTGTCCCTCTCTACCACTTAAGCACTCCCTTCCCTCTCTCCCCCTTTGTGTACTCCCTTCCTCTCTCCCCCTTTGTGTGCTCCCTTCCTCTCTCTCCGCCCCTTTGTGTGCTCCCTTACCCCTCTCCCCTTTGTGTGCTCACTTTTCTCTCTCTCCACCCCTTGCGCGCTCCCTTCCCCCCTCTCCCCTTTTCTCTCCCCCCACCCCTTGAACGCTCCCTTTCCCCTTGTGTGCTCCCTTTCCACTCAGCCTACTTCTTCTCTCCCCTGCTATCTGTTAATTTGCCCTTTGCTCCCATCTTTCTGCACACCTTTTTTTTTTTTTTTTCTCTGCCTTCCCTCTCGCTTTCTACTCCTTTTTTTCATACAAAGAAAATGTAAAACCCAATAAGTTCTTTCTGTATGTATATCAAGAATAAATTGATCTTTTAAAATATCTCCCCTTTCAGACTCTGCCAACAGGCAGGAATATTACTTTCCTGTATCACAGTTCCTCCGAATGTCAAACGAGAGAAAGTGTAAAGAAATTCTCCCCCTACTTTTTTTTGGTTTGCTTTACCTTCCATCAAAGGTCCTCTCTTCCTTCTCTGCTCTTTACTTTATCTTTGCAAAACACATGACTGCTCTTTCGTCCCCAGAACCCATAAATGAACCAGATAAGAAAAGTTGCTAAAGCCCCCCGGGTCACGCTCCCTTTCTTATAATGGCTAAACGCAATTGGGTGGAAGCAGCACCGCTTATTCCAAACAGTGGCTGCCACTTGTCCGGTCTTGTATAGAGAAATGGCTCAGCCAGAGGTCTACTGGCTTTCTTAATGTTTTTCCTTATCATGTCGGGAGTTTGGCAGCGAAAAGTATGGCTTCAGTCGACGGAGAGGGAACTTTCTTTTTAGAACTACGGATTGACCATTAAATACAGCCTGTGGCCTTTATATATATATATATATATATATATATATATATATACACACACATAAATATAGAGATCTTATTTTGCACGATTCATTTTATACCTCTTTTGTGTTTTATGTTGCCCAACACATTTTTTTTTTCATGAATGTGTGCGTCGTATAAGGGTTAACGACGCGGAAAATAAGATCGGTGGGCCGCGTTCAATTTCCGGTTGAAGCTGTTGTGTTCACTTTCACGTAAATGCTCTTGGAAAAAAAAGTATGAATTCAGCTTTTCGTCTCCGTTCCAGAAAGACTGAGCTCTCTAGCCTTGGTTATCAACCAGTCTAGGAGAAGGACAATTCTAAATTCAAAACCGTTTGGGTGTAAGGTTAGAAACTCTACCCAATCTACTTACGAAAAAAACCAAAAAAACCACAGCAGCATCATCTAATGGGGAGGGGGTATACTCCCAAAGGACTTTAGAGTTTCAAGAGAAGGCGAAACGATTATTTAAAGAAATGACTGCCATTCTTCTTAAAAGTTTAATTATTTTCGCTATTCATCCTATTTATTATAACGGTCACTTTCACTGAGCGCGTTGTCTTTGCTACCACCAGACTTGGATTCGTATCTCCCCATGGTCGATTTGGATACAGTTCCCATAATACTACAGTTTCCTGTACTTACGACCACGTCAGGTTGAAACACCGGTTTCCTGTGTGATCATTGAAATTAAACAGCATCGATCCTGGTTAGTACCCAGATAAGTGACTGTTCGGGAATACTATGTGCTGTAAGCTTGGGTGTGCGGTTGGTGTAATGGATAATAGTATCGTACTGTTAATCAGAGAGCCGAGTTCCAATCCCGCTCGGGTCGTTATATTCACTTATACGCAAATACCCTTGGGGGAAAAATGTGAATCTATCTTTTCTCCTTTCAGCTATGGCTTAGCAAGTTGTGTACCAATAATAAAACATTTTTGTCTCACAATCTGAAAGTATTTTTCTGGCTTTAAATAACTTGCAAAGGGTTGATAAGCCGTAAAAAACGAATGAATCAATCAAGAATGAGAGGTTATTATGAAAAGAAAGATAATTTTATGTAATGGGAGGGAGCATTTTTAATTCTAATAATGAAATAAAAATGTTGCTAAAATTCGCGTTGAGGATTTATGTACAGCGGCGCTGAACTTTGACATGGCGTGTTATAATCAATTTCTAGCCGGACCCACTTCGTTCGCTTTCACACAAATATACTTTGAAAATGTAAGTTTCGCAACTAGGGATTAGCATGAGGCCACACTCGACTCTGTTATTTGGCTAGATGCGTGAATCCACCTCTTTACCCCCAGCTATGGGTTAATTAGTAAGACTTGTATCATTAAAACCATTATTATTTCCAATTTAATAAGTAAATATAACTGCGTAAAAAAATAGATTTCGACATTAAATAACCCATGCAAATAAAAAAAAAAAAAGACAACCAACAAATCACAATTTCCGTGAGTAGCACTGACTGATTGCTCAATAAAGGCCGAGTGTTTCCTTATAAGGAAACTGATAATATTAGCATTAACATTGTTCAGGGTAAGAATAAACGAATTTGGAAATCTACCTCTTTTCCCCTCTTTATAAAATAGAATCTTGCCACCGGATTATTACCATTGAAATTTCGAGCTACTATAATGTTTTAAATTTGCTTAAAGTCAGGTGCAATCCCAGAAAAGAAAATCGACATTTTGTTTGCATCGTCACAGCCTGAAGAAGATACTGAGAATGTACAACGACTGCGCTGTTCACCTTGCCTTTTCTCTTTGAGTTTTAGACGTAAAATGCATCTTGAAGATAATCTTTTGTTGTAATTGATATACAACCGGCTTCTTAACCTGAGATCCATTAAACATCTTAGGAGGTACATGGATAGGTTTCAGGCGCTCCGTAAGGACCAGATAAAAATTAATATTTATACAGCCACTGTCCCAATCAACACACGGATTTAACACAGAACAATGTCTAAATCTATCTTCACCCCATAAGATCTAGGAACTTAAAATCTATTTCTTGTGGTGGTGAGGATTCTTTTTTATATCAGTTAAAATCCATGTAAAATTTTCCAACGAGGCGAATAAATAATTAAAGAGATAAGCGTTTTCGTTCTGAACTAGGATAGAGGTCGTGGTAAATAGCGGATTTCAAATTCATTGTTAATCGTATAGTCCCCAACTAATCTTGCTGACAGTTCGTTATATGTCCTGCACAATTCGAATGTCATTTTAACCCGGCCATTCTGGTATCAACTTTACGGCTTGTTAACTCTCGTGTCACCGAGGATACTGTTTCACAACTTTCGTTCCAAGCAATACCTCACCACCTAGGGATCAGTGACAGGTGTGTGTCCTTCTGTCCGTCCGTCCAGTAGCCGTTTGGAAGGAGACGTTGGCTGCGGTGTGGGGAGCTTGCGAAGGGGTCAGGTTGGAATCATCCAATGTCCAAGTGACAAGCAATTTAGACAAGTCGTTGTTCCCGTTATGACAAAGTGCTAACCTTTTGGCTTTTTGGAAAACTGACAATTAGATAGCTCTCCTTTCCCATATCACCGACTGCTCGCGAATTATTTATCATTTTAGCTTTCTTTTGTATTCACGCTCTCATCATAGGACGAGCTTTTTGTCAAGGGGAACGCGGGTTCGAACCTCGTCGAAGAGCATATTTTTCCTTATTAAGATTATGGAATGCACAGGCCAGTATACGCAATTTACACTGTTAAAAAATACAATCAGGGTGTTTACTCAAACACAAAAATACCCCCTTCCCCAATAGTGTTTACAGTAATTAGAAATACCTGCGTATGTATTACTTACATGTGCTTGTGTAATTTAATATTCACACACACACACATATATATATATATATATATTGCGTATATGGGCAGTAATCCCTCTTCTATGCTAGTTTCGTTGAAAACGACTGACAAGGTGTGATGGTTGAGTATTTTTTATATAATTTCTCATGTGTTCGTATAATTTTTTTTTCTTTTCAAGGCATAAATTATGTAAAAATGATTCTAATGTTTTCCAAGTGCTTTCGGGTATAATTTACCCATTATCAAGAATGAATTATATTTTATTTCTAAGTGAATATATGCATTGTTTTAGTATGTATGCACCCAGAGTTATAGTCACATGTTTTATTTTCCAAACACGGTCATCTCATTGTGACCGTCTTCATGGTTGGTATTGAGTGTTGGCTTTTTATTTGATTTTTTTTTTTTTTTATTAATAATGCTGTCATAATTTTTAGCCTTTTTGTATATGTGGATGATGCTTTTATATTTATAATATCAACGCGTATGTTAAGGTAGATTTTGGTAGGTCTCCATGTGTATTTAATTGAGACCTAATTGAGTTATGGTCAATTTTTATATAATTTATCTCCCGAAAAGAAAAAAATACGAACACATGAGAAATTATATAAAAAAAAACTCAACTACCACACTTTGTCAGTCGCTTTCAACGAAACTTACACACACACACACATTAATATATATATATATATATATATATATATATATATATGAGAGAATGTGACTTTATTTAAATTAAGACACTGGAATAATAGATTCCCCCCCACTTCAACTGGACAACCGCTACCCGTGAGTCAAGCAATGAAATCATATTAGAAAGAACAGTGAAATTTTCACATTTTTCCTAGTTAAATTTTCAGATGAATCTTAATTCTTAATAAGATTTAAGTTAATGACTGAATAAACACATGGCTTGTTCTACGACAATAAAATGTCCGTAGAAATTCCCCCATCGGCAAATATTTGAGCTTAACAACTTTAACAAAATATTAAAATGACAATCATAAATACGAATGCTGGTCGTTATTTTAAGAAGTAAGGGAGTACAAATGAAAAGATTTGAAATTAACAACTTTTTCCATTTCTCTAAAACAGCCGTTTATCATTTCTGTCTTCCCTTCCTTCCTTTCATTTTTTTTTCCACTGAATTTAGGGTTTTTTCGCCTCTTTCCATGTGATCAAAACGGAATAGTCCATTATTAAATGAAATATTGGCAGATATTAAACACTTTTATTTTCCCTTATTTCTTTCTAACTAAACCCCCTCTTATTAACATTTCTCTTAATAATAATTTTAAAATAATTCAACAGACGATGTTATTTATGGTAACTTTTTTTTTTTTTTTTTTTTTTTATTGCTTTACTCGATTTCTGTCGTCCGATACTGAAAATATGTCGCTTTTATCAAAGTCGCCATCACATCACGATCTTTTGGTTGAGATCGAAGTGTAGTATCTGTTCTGATCAACTTAATCCGATTTTCTCTCCACTTCTAACCTCTCTTTTTTCATTTTTTCAATGAAGCTCAGTAATGTCTTCCCCTCTTTCCACAGGCCTCTGTTCAGAAGGTTTTGAGGAGCGTGGAACTACCTCTGAATTGCTGGTGTTCCCAGGTCCACCCTGATCCGAGGTATAGCACCTGTTAGGGTCCCAGCTGTGAAAGTGTAAAAAATAGGTTTTAATACTAGAATACTTTGTAAAAAAAATTATTACCAGAAATAAATTTTTGAAGAAACAAAACTATTACCAGCAATGTTTTGGGGGAAAAAAAAATTACCAGCAATATATTTTTGAAAAAAAAATATTACCGGCAATACGTTTTTGAAAAAAAATATTACGAACAATACATTTTTTAACATATTACCAGCTATACATTTTTGAAGAAAAAAAATATTACCAGAAATAGATTTTTGACAAA